AGAGAGAGAGAGAGAGAGAAAGAGGGAGAGAGAGAGAAAAGAGATTGATTGATTGAGAGAGAAGGGGGGGGGGATAAAGTGTCCACGTTTTTGTGCTGCGTCGTTCCCCGCTGTGTGGAAAATCCAGGTGAAATAATTGCGGAACCATCAGGCAGGCAGGCAGGCAGGCAGGCAGGCAGGCAGGCAGGCAGGCAGGCAGGCAGGCAGGAGAGTGCGGTGGGAGTTCCGTTGACAGAATGGCGGCAGACGCTCGGCCATAAATGTGTCGGCGGTGCCCGCTGTGCCCGCTGGTCCCCGGCCGGCCGCGGCTCACGTGGGACCAGGATGCAGGCCGCAAGCCGCAGGCCTCACCGAGCCGACTTATTGACTTTGACCTCGACCTTGCGCTGTGATACGAAATCAGGACAAAATTTACAAACCCACGCGCCGGGTTTTTAATTCTTATTTTTTTCATTTCCCGCGCTGACAGTATTTATTAACAGAATGATGATAATCAGGCCGTTACATCATGAGTACACTCTGCTCACTCTGCCCGCTGCCCCCGCGGCCCGCACACACACACTGACCCCGTGCAGCGGAGCTGAGCGGGGCCGAGCGGGGCGCTGACGGGCAGAGCAGCGCGGCGGACGCAGCATCCGACCCGGAAGAGGCCGTCAGGAAGGGCGCTGGAGCACCGACTGCTGTACTTACACCGGAAACACAACTGTGTGAATGGCGCTTGGAGATGTGAACGACATTCGTACACATGGAGGCACAAGTGTGCGAATCTTAAAGGAAAATTATTCACACCTTGACTCCAGTGCAGAAAATAGTTTTTAGAAGTGTGAGACACAATTGTCTGACAGTTTTACCTGTTAGACTGGGTTTGCAGGGTGGGCATTCAAACACCTACAAATGTGCGACATGCACAAATTTGCGTTTCCAGTGATACTTTCCACACCAATAAGCCTAAATGTAAGTGTGTAGAAGACGTGTCGTTGATGATGAGTCAAATTAGTTGGCACGGATTCCGGGGGTAGGGATGAACCGGTGTAAAGCACAAGCATAAAAACAAACAAAACAAAGTGCTTTTCGACCCTTACAAACAAAAGAAAGTAAAGATATCGAATGCAGCGTTCTCGGGTTTCCGGGCCGGAGGTGTTGTTGTGGACCGAGCCGGCGGGGCCCTCCGAGAAGCGCCGGCCCCTCGTCACGTCTGCTGCCCTGCAGGGGCGCGGGCGGGGGACGTATCTCTCCAGCACATGCCCCCCTCCCCCTCCCCCTCCACGCCGTCCCGCCCCATTGCGCGTTCGTTGTTTTGTTTTGACGGCGAAGGCCGCGGCTGCGTGTCCGCCCGGCACGGCCCCGCCCAGCCCTCCACCCTCCGCCCGCCCTCGGCCCTCCCCCTGCTGCCCCGCGCGCATCGCCGGCCGGGCAAAAGGCAAGCAAAACGGGTCGGTTGCGCTTATCTGATCGAACGAGGTGCGCCCCGCCCCGCCCCGCCCCGCCAAGCAGCATCGTGGAAAGTGTTTTGGTTGTAAAGGAGGTGCGAGTCATTTTCTTGTTGCGAATGGTATCGCGCGTGCTCAGCCAACGAGACGAGGGCGTCCGTACTGAGAAGCGTCATCGTCGGTGCAGTTTTTTTTTGGTTTCGATCGTGTTTTTTAGCCCGCCCTTCTGCTTTTAAAAAAGCATTAAAGCGGGCTTATGCAACCGCTCTCGTGTCCGTCCGTCCGTCCGTCCGTCCGTCTGTCCGTCGTCCGTGTAAGAGGAAGGAGATGAGCTAGAGGTCTACAAATTTCAGGGTACCTTACGGGTCACTCCTGGACAACGAAACGCCTGGTGCAAATCCTGGCAACCACCCCTAAGGGGGTGAAAGGGGGTAACAAAGAAATAGGGGTTGGTCCAGAAAGTAGGAAAAAAATATTTTTTTTATGGTCTCCTAAGGGGTAACTCGTAAAAGTAGAGCCCTTTGGGCGAAAATTTCGTCCGTTTGACTCTATCTTGCACCGTTTGCGCGCTAGAGTGCCTTTTTCGACGAAATACGGCTTAAATGGCCACGTTGCACATAAAGACGTACAAGGAGGCGTCCAATCGTAAAATGTCAGAGGAAGTACCCCCCAAAACAACTCATTCTGAATCAGAAACTACCCTCGGATTTGCCGTATCTTAAACTGTTTCGGCCCTAGAGGTGGATACATTGAAAAACATGGGAAAAAGTCAAGACTTAATACTGTTCGACTAACAATACAATCTAAAAATTGCGCGTGTTCATTTTTTTTTATTTTCTTTTAATTCTTAAGCAAAGCAGAAGGGTGGGGTGTAGTCACGGTGTTGCCCCGTTACAGTCTTTTGTCATGTCCAAGGAGCAAATTTCTAGTGCCGCAGGCCCCCGCCGGACGCCTTAGTTTACTCAAACATGCAAAGTGATTTACCGGTCACATTATTTATTTGATTATGCATTTCCATAAATCGCGAGACTGAAATGGTCGGGCCGAAGGCCCGACCATCGCCGCCGGCAGGCCAAGCAGGCCCGGCCCCTGCCGAACGGAGTTGCCGGCGCAGCGAAGTGGAGCTGGCAACTCCGTTTGGCGGAAGGGCGGGCCTGCTTGTTTGTTGTTGTTGTCATCGTTGTTGTTGTTTGCTTTGGATAGGAGGGACGTCATCAAGGTGACAACGATATTTTTCTAGCAAAAAAAAAAAAAAAAAAAAAACCTAATACTTAACATGAGAATTACAACCCCGAACAGTTTGAAAAACGTTTTGAAAAATAACGAACGTTTTTGAAAATTGCCAATGAGCGAGGGCTGGCTTCTAACGCGCTGGGCGCTCCTGTTGCAGGGCATGCACTACACGCTGCTGCTGCTCGACTACCACAAGGAGGAGGGCAGCGCGCCGCACCACCGCCTGCACTGGCTCATCACCGACATCCCCGTGAGTACACGCTTGACCCCTGTGGGGCCCAAGTGCCGTGGGCCAAGGCCGCCGGACGGGGCTCGGTCCGCCACGGCTTTCAGAGAGCCAGCAGCCTAGGCTGCACGGCTGCGACTGCCTTCGCCAGATTTGGCTGGGGTTGTTTTTGTTGTTGTTCCGCTCCTGTATTGTTCCTGGAGCTGCGGGCTGCAGTGCGGCTATGCTGCGTGCGCCGGGCGCGCTGAGCCGCCGCGCCGGGGTGCCCAAGGCCGGCCGCGCCGAGGAGCCGCCCCGCCCCGCGGCCCCGCAGGCTGCAGCCTTAATCTTCCTACACTGACTGCTGGGTACTTGGGACGCTTTATGCCGTGGACAATGGCCGCCCAAATTGGGCGGGGTGTGAACGGGTGCTCTTAACAGCCCACTCTGGTGCTGCCGCTGTTTTATTGGCCATTCTCCGTACTCGGCGACGCCCAGCGAGCGAGGTGCTGCCGGGGAGGAAGTCAGGCGGCCGCCAAGTACTGGCCTGGCGCGGCGCTAAGCTGCGATCCCCGTCTCAGCCTGGAGCGGCCTGTTGCGGTCTGGAGCGGCCTGTAGCAGCCTGGAGCGGTCTGGAGCGGCATGGAGCGTCCGCCCCTCCTCTCAGGCCGGAGCCTGTCTGCCTCGCGCACCTCCCTCCGCGCAGAACCAGTGCAAAATGAGTACAGCGGGTGGGGGAGGTGGGGAGGCGGGGGGCGTGGACCATGGGCCGCCCGGGCCGTGTGCTCCAGAGGCTGGGCCGGCCGGTCAATGTCCCGAACGGTTCGGCGAGCCCTGCCCTCCAGTCGGGGCGCCATCCGGACCCATCCTGGCGGGTGCGGCGGCCGGGCCTAG